TCAAATCTAACATATTTGACTACTTCCCAGCGATGTTGATGCATCGCACTTTGTTTGACCCACTTATCGCACTTTAGTTTCTTGGCCGCCCCACCTACGCTATTTCTTTGGTCTTCTGTGTGGTCTTCTGCTGCTGTGGGCCATCTGCTTCATGGTTCAATCTGCTGTCTGTTGAGAGATGCTCTTCTGCACACCTTGGATGTAATAACGGTTATTTGAATTACAGTTGCTTTACTATCAGCTTGAAGCAGTCTAGCAATTTCCCTCTAACCTCTGACATCAACATGGCACATTCACCCACAGTACTCCTGCTTACCGGATATTTTCTTTTTTCAGATCAGTCTCTGTAAACACTAGAAGCATCAGCTGTTTCTGAAACATTCAGACCAGCCGGTCATTTAAAGCCACTTACATGACCTTTGTCTCCATTCTGATACCTGGTTTGAACTTCAGCAGGTCATCTTGACATGCCTAAATGTATTGAGTTGCTGCCATGAGACTCAGTGTAGAATGTTATAGACCTGTCAGCCTCGAACATTGCCGTCATGGTTGTGCAGTGTAAAGGAAGGGACCAAACAATTTTCAGGCAGTAGAAGAACAGGGATCAAAAAATGTAGTCTGTTTTGACTAGAAGTTAGTTAGTAGATCTCACATCATCATTTCTGCTAAGTGCACAACCCTTATTAAAAATAAAACACATCCGTGCATACCTGCTCTACTTAGTGTGCTCTACTTACTGTATGAGCGTGCAAGGAGATATGTTCAGTGAGACACACTGAACATGTCTGCCTCTCCTGCACTGATTTTGTTAATCGGTGTATTAACTACGACGTTAGCAACGTCAGGGTGAATTTGGGGATTAGATTGTATTTTTAAACATTCCTTCACACTTAAATTCCCTCGGTATAATTACTCCACTGAACCTCTGTTCTCTGAGGAGTAACCTGCCGTATGCAATATGACAACAAAGTTTTAAGTATAGATTTGACAGTCTATGATGAAAGCACTTCGGTTCCTTTCAAGGGAAAACCTTTTGCACTCCATCTCCCACTTTTCCAAGTTAATGACAGTGTCACGCTACTTCTTGCGCTTGGCAGTCTGTTACCCACCCATCATCTCTGAAGCACGTAACCTCATTATTAAGTGGACTATATGCAAGGTGTCCAGAGGCTGCATGGTTTGTAATGAATAGAGATGCTACTTAGTTTAATTTGACAGGGAGGCATTTCTTCTCAGTGATAACATACTGTAAAGTAATATCCGAGTCTATGTTTGTCTATCTTCCTCTCACAATTTACAAGTTACATCTATTGTTTGGAGTTTTTTCCCCATTATTTTTTTTTTATTCCCACAAATTTAACATTAATTTTAAAAAGCATTACTAAAAAGCACATTTGGTTTTTAAGCATAATTTATTTCCACAGTAAAACAACCAGCAGACATGAAAAACAAGAAGACCAAAATAAGAACGAGGCTTCAGTTTTATCTTAAACTGAGATTGGCAGCTTTGTTGGTGACATGCGAAAAACATGTTACAAATATTAAAGAACCAAAACATGACGGGACTCAAACTGAAGATTAGCCAAAACACCCTCCGCAGCTTATTTGGTTCAAACTTTATTGCTGTCTCACAAGTCTTCCTAGAAAAATATGACTTTGCAAACAGAAACAAACAGGGAGAGAAGAGAGCGTAAAATAGATTTTGTCTAAACCAAGTATCGCCCCTAATACAGTTTAATTGTCATTCAGCATTAAGAACTAATGTAATTTAAAGTGCTTCAAATTAGAATTTTTAAAATGTCTGATTTTTTTTATTTTTTTTTAATAATTTGCATTTCAGTAGCTGGTACCACATCCTCTTTAGATTTGAAAGCATTTTTCTAGTAGGTAATGGCAGATAGAGTAAGCATGAATTGAGGCAGAGATTTGGGAAAGGTCTCAGAGGGGGCTACCGGAGGCTCCTGGGCCAGGCAGATCCACATGTACTAATGAGAGATGAAAGAATTGAAGGGTGGGGGCACGGAGATGAAAACAAATAGCCTGTAGTGACAAGAGCATAGAAAACTGGATAGGGAGTGTATGAGGTGTTGCTCCTTAAATTCAGATAAATTATCCCCAAAAAGATTGCTACAAGTACCGTTTAGCACGCCTTCTTTTTGCTCCAAACAGTATTGCACAGTATACTTGAGACAGTGCATAAGAGCTGCGAGCAGCTGATGAAGGAGAATATGTAGTGATAAATACCGTGACCTTGGATATTATGGGAATATGAACTGCTACACTGTGGCGCTTTATCTGCTTACACTGTAAACTTCTAGTTGGTGATTCAGCTGACAAGTAACACTTGAATGGCGAATCTGCTCTAAAACGTACATCAGCACATCACACCGTGTCACAAAACCACAAGTCAAGTATGACAGCATACAGCTGCTGAAGAAACACTAGCCTACATCTTTCAAGATTCAAGCTTTTACTTTAAAAACGTCATCAGAGATGAGAGTGGTTGCTAAAGGAACATCTGTTCCTGATAATCATTTCAAACTCGCATTAACTTTTCAGATTCTCGTTTATTTTTGTTATTTTCTTTTTGGCCAATGAGAGCCAGAAAA